ATGGAAGAATTTGAAGGAAATTTTCTCCTAAAATAATTATTTTATTTCCAAAATATCTTTCCGTATGGTATATATATCTTAAATTTCTGTCAACTATTTTTAAGGCTTTTTTTGGAATCAATGAAGCTCCATCCTAAGTAATTAAATCAATTTTTTTGTAATTTTTTGTTATGTGAGCTGCACATTTCTTTACAAAAAGATATTTTTTGATCTATAAGATTTGTGTATCTTTAATTTGTTTAGGGATAGATAGACTAAAACATTTACATAATTTATCTACTAATCTTAAAATTTAGTTTATATATAAAAGAGTGCACTTATCTCAATTATCAACAAAATCTTCTGTAGCATTTTTTCTATATTTATTTTGTATTCTATTTTCTTGAATGTATTTCGGAATTTAAAACCACGAAAAGATTGTCTCAATTGATAAGAAACCTAAAAGTAATTGCTTTTTCAAAAGTATTATCGATTTGAGAAGGATGACCGATTAAACCCATTACGGTTGCAGTATTTTTAAAAGTGTGGTATTTAATTTCTTTACATATTTTAATGTCTTTGATGGATGTTACACCATTTCTTCCATTTAAAATGAGTTTGAAAGAACCGTTCATAGTTCTTTAGAGATATTTCATTCACTTGAATTGTTGCAACGATTTTCATTACAATTTCTCTTTTTCCCTAAATTGTGAGATTGTTATTAAAAATGTAATATTTTTAAATGTTTACGTACTTGATTGATTTCGCAAAATAATTATGTTTGTTTTATTACATCCAAGCTGTTAGTTGCGTCAGATAGTCTTTTACTATTTCCAAAATTATTTTAGTTAAATGTATTTTTTAGTTTGTTTGTAAGGTGGACATTTTAATTTTTCAAACATGACAGACTGAATGACAAAAATTTTTTACTTGTTCTTTTCAAGATACTGTTACGTCGGCGCAACGTACTATTCGAGTCTAAGCTTTCGCTTAATAACTCGGGATGTACGCTGGGCACGTAAATGGGACACAGAGCTAAAGAGGTAGTTCTAACTAACAACACGGTATTTGCAAAGCGGCTACGACTGTTTTAACACAAC